TGTCCATTTGTAGCTTAAAGATTCCACAAGAGTGCTCCATATTTAGATTGAAACAAAGCATTTTAATATACGTGGTATATTAATTAACTATAATGTACCACCAATTTCAGCGTTCAATAAAAATTAATTTCTTACATGTAGTTTATTTGTGGGTTTTGTATGGTTATCAGAATAAACAGCAATTACTTCCCTGAATAGCATCAACCAATTGGTATTTGTAATAGATATGAGTTTTCTTTGAGGTAAGAACTGAATCTTTAAATATTTTTTAGATCTTCAACTTCACTGCTAAATTGGAGATTCATTGCAACTGAACTGAATAATATTTCCATTCTGGCACTTGCTTTGTGATTACTAGCTCCAACTCCTTTACCACGTATCTGATGAGATATAACGAGATGCACATTCCAAAGTTCGCTGGTAATTGGATTCTCTTGCCTTAGGAGAGCGTGTTAGGTGCCCTATGCATTGGGAAATTATGTGCTTTCTCGTGTAATAATAAAAAACATACGAAGTGCTCCACTAGTCATCCCACTGAAGAATATGTTCTTTATCGATTTTGATAACGCTTTCGATAGATATGCGTCTGACAGATAATAAAGTTACGGATCGTGGTTATTTTCGCGTGTTTCATTCAAACAAGAATTGAGTGCTTGTGTTGGAGTGAACCCAGGAGCAATAGTGTACAAACGTAGTAAGAAAATGAACGCGACTTTACTTTCCATTGCCGCAATTGGTAATTGGTGAATTTACAATGAGTGTTTGTTGAAGTGTTCAATATTTGGATTACAGATGCAGCAGAATTTGTATTTTTTTTTTCGTCGTTTAAATGAACACTTACATTAATGTGGTAAGAAAACGGTCTACACATCTTACTCTAAAATTTAAATTAGTAAGTCTGCCTGTATTTTGACGTAAATACGTCTATGTGGAAGGGTCATTCGGCAAAACAGCGTTAGGAATATGTGTAAGATCCATATCAACAATGTGTAAATATGGTCAGCTTTTATATGAACTCCTGCGTGCATTGTTATGTTACCTAAGAAACTAATTGTTGCGTCTTCTGTTTACTCGGCGTTGTTGTGTTTCATTACTGCCGTCAGCAATCCGCTTTCGTTATTGTGGAAAGAGCCGAGCTGTGAATCGCTTGTAGAAGTAGTGCGTCGTAGATAATTTTGTGCTGTTAAAAACGTTTTAGAATATCACAGGTACTTATCTTATACAAGAATTATTACATCACAGAGACGTATATACGTCAGATTCTCCGGAACCGTGGTTCCACTCTCAATTTTTCTTTTATAAGTTACTTGCCATCTAGAAGACAGAGGAAACTGTATGTAATCATCTGCTTTAGAGGTTAACAACCCGACCTCCATGTAGTGAATACTACGTAATTCTAAATTGCACAGGACGATGATATGATGATTCTGTATTATCACCTGCCTTATACGTTAACAATCACATTCTGTGCCCGTATGTATTATTTATTTAAATATGTATGAAGGTATAGCATAAATATATGAAGTTAACAACCCAGCATCACAGCAGGATAGTGAATTTGTTATTCAATGCTTTGTAGGACAGTGGTATGGATGAATGAATGAATGAATTAATTAATTAATAAGGGAATGCATAGCACTCCGAAGTCTAACAATTTATAACATATAAGACTCTATTAACTATATGTTACACCTGTTAAAAGGTGAATGACCCGATATCTAGACCATGGTCTGCTGAAGTGAGGGGCCATGTAGTCTTTTAGGCGCTACCAATATTTCAGAGGAACATATCACCTCCATCTTCAGTGCAAATATATGTAAGATCACGTGGCATCACTGCCGCAGGAACACGAATGTCATTGGCAACAGAAAACGCGCTATTCGCAATGGACAATTTTAAGTTCTGGAGAAAGCGTCAAAATTCTTAAACTACGTGTATGTGCAATTCCTAACTTGTTTTAGATACGTTAGATTTGTGCCGCGTTAAAAGTGTTGGTAATGTTGATCTTACAAAGTTAATCAAATCTGAGTAACTTCAGAAGTTAAAAATTCCGACACCTCACAGTTAAATGATAATGTTATGTCCTTCGTTTATAGATATATAACAAGAGATAAATTGTCTGAGACATTTCTTATGGTTACGTACGTCAGAATGCTTTAACAACGCAAATGACTATAATTAGGGCAGACCATAGGTCGTTAGTTAAATGATATAAGGCAGTTTTAGACGAAACTGCTATCTTATCAGCACTGTCTTTTCATTTCCAGGAGTTCAGAATGTCATATTCATACCACTTAGAAGCGTAAGAGAAACCTGAGATGAAATGAAAAATAATCCACTGTGTGTTCCTGCCTCTGATGATCAGAAGGCATTTTAGCTGTGACAGTCGAAATTGACTGCAGTAGATAGCTTGTTATTTGACCTCTGAAACTTTGGTTAACATCGACCATACTACACGGCGCTACAACCTAGAAGACTGAAATCTTCATACTCACCGCTGTGTAAAACCTCAAATCTTATACAACAACTTTAATGTTTAGCTGTTTTTCTTTGACGAATAACTCGTTAGTTGTCTAAACGACTCCCATGTCATCTTCATAGGACATGCTACTTTTAATAATAAATATCAAATTGATCATGCATTTTGAGTAGGGCTGACAGGGAAATAAATACGTGCGGCCTATTTTACGTTCATGTATGCAAATAAACCAAAGAGACATAAAGAGTCTCAGGTAAGCCCTTCACCATGGCTGAAAATGAAACTGAATAATTCCAAAACTCAATTCGTACTCAGTAATGTTAGCATACACTGATTTACTGTAACACACTTTTGCCCGGAATTTGTCTACTGAATTGTTAAGTCGCGATGAATCTTCGAAAGGGTAGCTTGCCGGGATTCAGTCCAACTCCTCTCAAAGTCGAGGAAGAATTGATAATCAATCAGGCGAGACTTGCTTGCAGGTTCTTGTCCAGTCATGCCTACTGATGCTTTTTTAAAGTGAGTTTTGTACTTACAAGACTGGAGAGGTTTGAAAACGATGTTCAGGAAGCGATCAAGTGTTATTTGTCTCCAGTCCAATTAGTCCTAAGTTGTTTGTAAATAAAATTGAATCTTTCCATTGTGGAGGCAACCATCTGCTTTGAATATCGCTTGACATTAGTCACATAAACCATAACATACATTCACCCAAAACGAGCATGTGCAACCAAAAAAAGAAAATATATAGGCCTGTATTGGCAATTAGTTTTTTTTAAATATTAAACTCTTTATCTAGATTAATTAATCATTCTTATGTCGTGATCGAGAATAAATGCGGGATTCTTCTGCTCCGAAGATCTTTGATATTTGATATCAGTGAATATCTATTTCCGTCTCTTAACACTTCAAGATAACTGCTCGTGTTTTGAGCCAATTCATAAAAATTATTATCTATCGTAAAAACACAGAAACGCTAAATAAATCTTAGCACCAAAAACCATTTGAAAATGCTGTGGATAAAATATTTGCGTAGTGATTATCATGGGAGGGGGGGGGGGGGGGGGGGGGGCGTCACGAACATTAGAGGTTAGATAGACCTAACAGTGTTTGTTAACATTTACAGTTACAATAAGAAACCAATATCACGTGAATAAACTAAGTGCAGTTGTGATCCTTGGAGACAACTTGTCCGACATCAACTTGGACATTATTCTGTGAAACTGGGAAGACAAGTTTTTTCTGCATACCGAAGCGAGAGAGGAGAGATCGAACTTGAAATCGACCTGACGCGAGAGAGGGAGAGATTCTCAGGTGCTGGCTGTTGGATGATTCTGTTGCAGCTAGCACGCGATATGAGTTAGTCGGCATCGTGCTTCAGAGACGGACGACATGAAGTGGAGGATAGACAGTGCAGATAACGCCGCTGCTCTAGCACCAGTAAGTACTTTCTTATCTAATAAATAAGTAAGAATAACAATACCGCGCTTTCTATACTGCATTAAGTTCGTTGCACCCCGTGTATGTATCGGGATAAGGCCTCAACTCTGCCAATATTGAATTTAATCGAGAAAAATGTTGCGATAGATGAAGTGAGAACTCCTTTAAAACCATGGAAACCAACCCGTCACTAATTTCAGCTGTTACTAGTCATGGCATAAACATTATACTTATTTAAACACAAACCATTCACTCAAATACATTACATATTAATGTGATAAAAGCAATCGAAGAAAGAATACAATTAGTACAGTCGTGTTAAAGGAACAAAAAGAAAAATATGAATTTGTTGTGTGCAAGTATAAACTATGTGCATCGCATCATCAGTTTTGTTCAGTTGTATTTTATGTTTATAAACGTCTTGTTTATATTGGTATCACGCGTCAGACTTCATGTGTCATTTACTTCAAGTACAATGAACGCAGTGTGGGACTGTCCTATGTACAAGTCTGTTCCCCGCTGTCATGATGTTTCATCTCCGAAGCTACTAAATGGATCATAATTAATTTATTTATAATTTGTTTAGTGACGCTGTCAGTGGCTCAGAGAGTCTTGATAAATTTTATGTTCAGAGTCTGTAATAAAGTTTGAAACGAATTTGCATTGCCAAGATCTGGATTGTGACGCCCTGAAGATGGAGACAGCATGTTTCTTCGAAGCGGTTTTGTATACGTACGTCATAACAACCTCGTACAACATCATCTTCCTCACTGCGGTGATAACCCTATATATCACATAGAGTTAATTAGGTAGAGGTAATTATTACTTCTATAGGTTATTAATTAGGTTTTCTCAACTACTTGGCGCAGTAGTTAACTGAACAGGCAATCGGATATGATGTAATGAATAAATTAGCTTAGCTTGTCATTTTGAAAGACACAAGCCAATCAGTAACTGACATCCATAAACGTAAAATTCGGTGGACACACATAACAGACTTTAAGTAGCATTACGTAACGGAAAAATAAAATAACAAGCGATGTCACATAATTTAAATAATTTGTTCTACGAAAGTGTGTGCTGAAATATATAGCACATTTCGTTTATTTTACACGGGAAAAACAGGCTTATGGTACTATCATATCCATATGACCGTGTGTGGACCCCCCCCCCCAGTAACTTATAACAAATCAGTGGATTATATTTTAAACTTCTGCTATCATTCCTGCAGGTAAACTCTAAATTCTAACGTTTTAATTTCCTATAATTAATCATGCTGAGGAGACGGTGTTAAATTCTGAGTAGGGTGTTTCTTAGAATGCTAAACAACAACATGACAGCTCCGTTAACTGGTGTGGCTGTAAGTTAAAAATCATTGAACTATATGAAATTTTATGTGAAGATATATCATAAACATACCTACCAATTTTGTTTGAAACATTTGTAATATATTAAAATTTGAGACATGGTGATGCTACGCACCTATCGCAAATTTAAGTCAGTCGAAATCTACTAATGTAAATCATGCATACAAAACTGTATAATTATTATCTTTTAGTAAGCCTACTTGCTCTCCTCGGTGCGTTGATTAAGGCATTTTAAAACAAGTATGTTTCCCTTCAAGCCCACGCAGCTGTATAGTCGAGAAGACTTAATATAGACTCTTCGCAGCCATGATAACTTTAAATCTCATGTAGCTCACGACTCTTGTTATTGGCGTCTTGTAAAAACGCTACATTTCCTATAAAATTGAAAAGCGCTGGCAAATAAGGCAAGAAACCCAACCAATCTTCCTCGGTATTCAAGCAATTTTGAGTACTAAGATTACGTACGTGTTTCTTATGTCGTTCTTTCACGCTTAACAATATCTGATAGAAATTCTTATTCCATTCTCTTCTGTAACTGCGAGGAATTCGTCACATTTTGTGAGGAAATTGTTTTTATCTGTGGCGTTGTCTTCCTCCAGGCAATGCACAGACGGACATTGCTACAAGTTCCCCCCTGCCCTCGTTCACCTGACACTTAGTCATCCGTTGTGTTTGCATCATTGATGACGAACCCATGAAGAAATACGGATAACGAGACAGACATGTAGTGACGTCAAAATCATGATGTCATTGTAACGTGACGTGTTGCGGTGTGGTCAGATAAAAGGAATGGAGATAATCGATGGTTATCTCGAAATTCTTGCTGCGTTGATGAAATATCTGCATTCCAAGCATTAGGCAACAGCTTGTTCCGGCCTCATTTACAGATTGTGCCGCCTTTCCTCTATCGTTCCATGTCTCTTCTGAATTTGATTTCGTAGTCCACGTCACGTTGAGGAACGCGGGTTCCAGCCGTTGCTTGAAGATTCTCCCCGTTTCATCCATTGACAGTTATTAAAAAAATGACTTGCGTTGTTTACATTTTACCAACAAGGGAAAACTGATAAAGTTTAAAGTAGATGTTATACTGTACCAAACAATCCAAAATTAAATTCTTCCTATGGCATGAAGTATAGACTGACGGTACAAAATTTCATCGAAATCTATTGAGTAGTTTCGGACCGCCAGCGACAGCTGATGGCTGGTACGCAGCCGGTTTTGGTACTTACAATAGCTTCCTGTCTCTTCCCACATGTGGACGTGAGAGAGTTCTTTCCGGGTCGAAGCGCGGTTCAAGGAGACTAGTAGCAAGGCTGTCCCCTGTCAGTGCGTCTTGATGCGAGATTAGAGGAAGAAGGGACTATCTCTCTGTAAGAGAGTTCTTTTTCTAAAATAAACGGTCCATCTGGACGATGCATAATGGTAGCGTCTTGTTGTAGGTATGAAGTAACATGGGTTTTTAATGCCATCAACAAAGTTGAATAAATAAAAATGTTTACACTACATGCTTCGGCGAAAATGCCATCATCAGGTGTGTAGATTTGCTGAACGTCATAAACCTGTATAATTTACATGATTGATAAGGTGATAACAATTGTGATAAACATTTAATTGTAATATACCTTTTATTCAGAGACAGTGGGCAACTCAAGGAGTTAATAGATCGTATTACAACATAACAGCAGACGGATTTGGGTCTCATTCTTGCAAATCTGTTGTACTTTCTTTCTGACACGTATTCCTTTCTTTAATTCGCTGCTTTGCTTTATTTTGTAAAAGTAAAGTGGTACATCACTTAAGTGACTTGTTCGTTGAATACTTCTCATGTTATGTAACATTAGTTTGAAACTGCTGCGTCACTCTCTGCTAAGAAATGTACATACATACCCAAAATGCATTGAACCTGGTAGATGGTGAAACTCAATATTATGTGTTACTTGTTTAAAGTACATAAAAATAACGCATAATGGGGAAGCAATGTCCACATGTCTGACTACCCTCCAACTAGGTTCCTTTGTATTGGAATTTTACGTTACCTCTAATTAAACGTCCACTTGGCAGACCGAGAAGAAGATAGGAGTATAACATTCAACATTCTTATCTGATGACACAAAGCTAATAGAATCTCATAGTGCTTATATAATGTCTATGGGTTTCTAAATGTAAAATTTCAGGCAAATACGTCACCCCAATCAACTTTATAATTACAAACTTTTACCACCATAAACAATTAAACAGATTAAAACTTCGACATGTAACGCAAAAACAGGGACGTTTATGGAGTTGGCTCTGTGTTTGGCACAAATCACAACAGAGAAGCAGATTATCATCGTGATATCAAAGCTTGATATCAGATCAACAGCATATCTCAGTGGTTCAGAAACTAATAAATGGGGCGGATAGACAGACAGACAGACACGGTGTACCGATAAGACAGGGGTGCCAAAGAAATAAAGAATAAAAATAGAAAGGAATAGAGAACGAACAAATTGAAAGAAGGAAGAAATAAAAATGGAGAAAACAGTAATTAAAATGAAACGGCAAGGGAGAATCTAAAAAGAATGAAAATAAATAAGTGAGAGTAAAAGTGCGAAAAATGTTTTTTATCCATGCTGTAACGCTGAAAAGCGTTCCCATTGCCTGACATCAATCTCGTTAGACGCGCACCGTGTCCCTTAATATCTGCGTTTCTCGTCTTGTCAAGTATTGCTCGTCGCATAAAAGTATTAGACGTTAAATTACATAAAATATGTATGCCATTACATTTTGCAAGTTTTGTTGACCTTTTTCTATGTCGTGTAAGCTTATTTAACGTATCTGCATCGCGATTAGTGTAAGAATAAATGCTTGTATCTGCACCGGACAAACATAATTTAAAATGTAGATCTCATAATCAACTTTTAAATATTTAATCTTCATTTTAGTGGTTATTTTATGCAAGTGACTATTGTTATTTTATCACTGTCGTCTTGAATAATTATGGCAAACACAAAAGCTCTTTCTCCGGGGGCAAGGCGGCCGTAACGTGACCTGTTGTAGACGTTAATATTGCATGGACTTTACCTCCACTCGTAAAGACGTTTGCATGGCGTGGTGCTTATGCTGAGAAAAAAACTCCATGTTTCTGCTATTACTATTATTATCAACATCAACATCAACATCATACCGTCTTAAAGGCTATTCGTCCGTGATCCAAGGTCAAACTTTGTCCTCGAGGCTTATTACGTAGTGGCTCGTGAACAGCACATTCTAAAGTAACAAAGTGCCACATTAATTAATTTGTTCCTCAAGACGTTTTCTGTTCCCATTCCACGCTACAGTGGTTATCGGAAATGTCATGCAAATGATTTTGAAGTAATCGTGAGAAGCTTCCAGTTGCACCAGTAATTGTTGGTGTCATCAGAGTCTTTGGATATGCGACCTTTTGAGTATTCGATTGTGCTGTTTTCCGAGTTCATGCACCTGAAGACAAGGCCGGAGAATGCTAGATAAGAACTGTTTCGACTCGAAAGTTAAGTTGTTTTGCCTGCCCAATAAACACTGGAATGACACACACACACACACACACTCGCACGCACATGATTGCTCTTTCCGGTTATTTGCCTTGAACTGGCTACTGACTCCACTTTACACATGTCTCAAAACGTGTTCAAGTGCGGATGCGATAACTACGGACTTAAGCCGGCTTCATGGATTTAGTCGTGTTTCATGACGACAGAAAATGAACCTTCTATTACACCATGTTCATCAACCTCTGTGTTTTTATCTCCTTGACTGTAATTTAGCGTGTAAGAATATTGATCCCACTCTTCACGAATGGTCGGTTAGTCCGTAGGATATTTAACGATACTGATTCAGTCACTTTTATCTGATTTGATTACATATCTTAACCGTATTAGACCACTTGACTGATAATTCGGAAAACGACTGTGGGAACATCAGTCAGTGGCGTTGTGATGACACCCACATGACATTTGCGTCGGATGCTTTCGCGTCATAGTGTGGAGTGTCACGAGTCGATGTTATTCATCTTTGTTCAGAAAATGTCTAGAGCAACATCTTAAGACAGTCCACTACTCTTTACTTCTGCTTTCAATCCTGGATCGACATCATTTTTACATTTTTCTTCATTTTGTATGGACCCAGGAAACTAAAGAAATAAAACTTAATAACAATTTTATGAAGTGCGACTGTGGTGAAACCATTACACACGAGCCTCTTTCGACCTTTGATACTATATTTTTTAAAGAATTAATCTTTTTAATAATTATCTCCAAGGATGTTTAACGATGGTTTATCAACTGACTTGATCACTTAACGCCGATTTACCTGTGAGGCAGACCAGCTTGTACTGGTTTGCGTGAAGGTACTGCCCGGTTAAACTGAGAAAAACGACGTTGAGATCATTTAGAAAAGTCAGTCCTATAACCGAAAGTCGAACAAGATATCTTGCAAATATAAGTCCCCTTGTTACCACTCGGTAGACAGTTTGTGTGTTTTTGATGTCATGAAATAAATTTTTCCGTTTCTGCAACGAGTAAGAACTTCTCTTGCTGTACAGAACATGCAGCTCAGTGCGCCTGCTGATCACGTGTATGCTACACGCTATACACTAATGTCAGAGAAGTTGCTTATATTTCTAGGCGATAAGCCCTGATGTAACTTGGTAGGATTTGTGGTTTCCAGGTACCGAGTATGAAGATAGCTGTCTTCTGTGTTATATCGCCGTGTTGTCTGGGAACGTTTATCGACGTTTCAGAGGTACCTGCTGCCTCCATCATCAGGGCTAATAAGTTCTCGATAAACTTTTACCACATTACTCGGCGCTGATTTCTCTTCTGAATCTTGTCATACAAAACAAATAAATTTGGAGTCGTTGCTTCTTAACCATCCCCAGTTTAAAAGGGTGATCAGATCAAAAACTATTACATTCTATGTGTTGTTATTTTTATTTGTAGGGCACTCGTTATGGTAAGCGGAGCGATTCTTCGTCCGAGGCTCCCCAGACGAGCGTGTTTAGACCTCTGGCAGCCTACCGGGAGTCCTGGAATCCTGAAGAGGGCGTCGCAGCATCGGGAGTGTTCAGGAGTATATCCGAGGATGGGCCTTCTGTAACCACACACGATCTGACAACTACCAAAAACTACATTAGGCCATCGAAGGAAACAGCCAGGATAGAAGCCGTAGTGACAAAACTATCAGAGGATAGGAAACTTACAACAAGCAACGAAATTCCAAAGAAACACCAAAATCTCAAAACAGGTAAGGCCGTTGGAAAACAGAGGCCTGACTGCGTTAACAAGGGATCGGAACTTGTGAAAGACATCGTGAAGCTGGATTCGTCAGAAGATAAGTGTGGTGAGAGCGAACCTAGCGGAGAATCAGCACAACACAAGATCCCTCCTCTTGGCAGTGGCAGTGAGGCACTTGGTGGCAATCGTTCTAGACACTTCAAGCTGGAGTCGTCTTCATCTACATCGGTGGAGCATCAAGGCATGCAACCCGCGGCTCGGGATACAGGGCAGCAGCGGGGTTTTGGTTCGAGTGGTGTCACCCTCGTGAGCAGGGCAAGTAGTCCTGGAACCAACAGCAGCTGTGGAAGTTCCTGCAACTTCTCGTCTACGACAGAAGCGACGGGTGACGGCAGAGGCCAGAGAGCAACACCGATGGGCTCGACCACTGGTCTTCTGCCAGATAACACGTCTTCTTGTTCCCAGTCGAAGTTTAAAGTAAGTACAGACTTTGTAGAGGGTTTAACCCTTTCCATGCTACTCAGACATATCTTGATCAAACGCAGAGTCACTTAAAAATTAGCTGCGTTAAGTTTTTGTGACGATCGGGCAAATAAATCTCTCAAGAGTTTATTCTGTAACAATTTTGTTTTCAAGAAAAATGTGTGTTGTGTAAACAAAATAAATATTTTAAATAATAAATAGAATGGAAAGGGTCTTAACAGACCCATTAGACCAGTACCCTGTTAGTTGTCGGATGTCTTGTCAAGAGCCTTTTGCATAAAATGTTTAAAAATCCGTTCCCAATTTCATGGTGACACAGGAATACCAAAACTGACTCTAGTATGTCAGTCAGTCAGTCAGTCAGCCAGTCAGTCAGACGAGCGCTGTCACGTACAGAAAGAAAGAAATAGAATTTTGTATTATAGAATTTTGTATTACAGAATTTTTCATAAATTTCGCAAATGTAATATTAAATTAAGAATATTATGTAGGTCTTGTAATCTTGCCCTGTGTGTGTTATTGCTAAAGTCAAATAATAGGCCTATTTCAAATCAGACCGATATAAATTGCAAACTTATAAATTTTTCAGCGAGATTATAACAGTCTTGCCCAACACTCTTTTCTCTTGTGCATTTGAAAATATCACTTTATGCAAAAATCTATCGAAACAAATTAAGAGACGTGCCGAATTTGACTGTGGCTCTGAACCACGAATCACGTTATGACCAATTCCATAAATTAACGCTAGTTTAAGGGGTGTTCTGAAAAATTAGAATCTATCCATCTGATCAAGAACTTCCTGCCTTTTGTCACCCGAACGTTCATCCCCGTTTTCATAAAATGTCTCTCATAAGACCCTATCCTGAACCACATGAATACAATTCACATTTACCTATAGGCTATTTCCACAATATCCTTTTTAATATCATTCTTTTGCTTACACATCAGTCTTTAAAGTAGATTATGCAATCGGTTTTTCTGATTTTCCAATTTCTATGTTACTTCATCTGTCTTGCGTCATTACTGTTGGTGACATATTTATTACACATCCTGTGTTACCGGTTGTTGAATAACAAGACAACTCTTTCATTGAGCAGTGCAAATAAGAACAAGACGAGATACAAAAAACGTCGCAAAATAAATTGGTTCAGAAACTGAAGTAGGCTTGGTAGCACTGGATTGCCTTGCTGATTTTCATGGCTGCTGGTGGCCTGACCAGTTTGTTTAGCCATGGAATTGAACATGTGGCTTGATATGATACCTACTAAAGAGGAATGTGGTTTCTAGTATACAACCATTGAGAAATGTTGGTGCACTGCAGTGGTATATACACATTTTCAAAATGCACTAATTGTGACTTTGTATAACGTCACTGACCTTAATGTCTATTTATTTAAGATAAAAGTATATAATTGCGAAGTTAAACACACAACATAAACACGACTGCAAAAGGTGAAAAATTAATTATCCCTTGTACTTTGTTAGATATCATATAAAAATTGTTCAAAGAGAAGTGTATACCTTAGTAGGCTCTGTATTTTACGTTTCGTACAGATTTTAAAACATGAGAAATTATATTTAAAATACATGTAAGTAGGTATATTAGACCGTTCCTTTCTTCGAAATTCATTTACCCGTTTCGGAGTCGAATCTAGCACGAAAACAGGTTTCTGCAATGGGCCACCTGAGTGAGATTCGAATCCAGTACTTACCGAACCCGAAGCAGAATTCTCAACTAACCAGCTAGCTAATCATTCCATTGGTTACTTCGTAATTAATTAATTAGCTACGCGGCTTAATTAGGTTTACATAGATACTTAATTTTTTATTTAAATAGGTAGTTAAGCCAGCAGAAGAATTCTATTCAGAAGCATGACTTCAGTTCGGACTGCGATAAGCTGTGAGATTGCCTTCTCTGTAGAACAATAAATTTACACACACTTTCCCGCACCAGCTGACACTTTCTCAGTTATTTATATTTTATGAAGTCCGCACTTTGTGCCAAGTGAAACTCGTGTCAAGATGAAACACACTCTACTTGTTTCGGTCCGATTATGAAAAAACTTTCTGCACATATGACAGTTCGAATTTTAGATGTAATGTAGAGGTAATTCAGCCTCAGATAAGAGGGAAATTTGTGAATGGCGAATTGGATGATTCCTGCATTATCCAACTTAGGTGTTTCAACGGAAGAGGTCATTAGGAGCGACTGAGACGGTGATGACCCATGAATATGTTAATTTGTAAATTATTTATTTTAGGAGATTCCGTTTGTGGTAAAATATGAAATGACGTTTAGAAGCAGCACACCCTGCAGTCGACTTTATAGACTGAGTAAAAAACGGAAAACTTGCCATAAAAGCCCTAGTAAGGACCAAGGTACAAGCTGTACATCCCTGAATTAGTTCTGAACCAGTCTCCTCGAGACTGTAAGCTGGAATAGGAAAACATTTGAACATTTTCTTGCTGTCTGTGTTAAAGCGAGCCGAATGTCTGGAACTTCGTCTCTCCACACCGAGACTTTTCTCATTCTCGCCAGAATAGGTCGGGGGCAATCCGTTCAGAATCCCTTCCTCTGACAAACGTCTGACACGTGGATTTAAACACAGAACTTGACGGTAGTAATGCGATAGTTCTGTACCATTCTGTGGCGAAAATTCCAACATCGACCGATACGACATCCGCTTGACTCTGATTCCTTCGAGGGTCAACAGAAACACTCGGAATGTAAATGGTTAGAATCTTGGCCATGCCACACTACCTATCCTGACTGAGGTTTTCCATGGTTTTCCCCAGTCCCACCAGTCGAATACCACGATTACAACTTGGAGTAGGCTACGTTCGTCCTTTTAAAATTGTATTTAGCCTGTTTAGTTCAACAGTTCCGATAGTTCGTTATCGTGTTTATAGAATTCCCACACGCTGACGAATCTACTCCACATATTCCTAATCTGTTTAATTAAAATTCATTTTAATATTATCTCCTCATTTACGCCTCGGTTTCCCAAGAAGTTTCTTCTTTAGCGATTTCAGACTATACATTTCTTTGAGCTATTCGCATTTATCACTAATATGTGAATTTTAAACCGAAGGACAACCAGAAAACTGAAGTGTCTCTGTTCAGTTTTTGCTGCTCGCTGCATTACCCACGGCTGAGATTATTAATGATGGCGTAATAAACAGCGGTGTTTGTCATTTGCTGACTCCGCTGGAGGCACAATTACATAGACTTGGTGCTCTGAGCCAGCAAACACACTGGCGGTGTTTCCCAATCTGTGGTCCGCAGACCATAATTTACGAACATTTTGCGTTCCGTTATTAGCGTTAAGAAACAGAGAACGCGATAACGTTGAGATGTTTGGGACTTGAATTTTTTTTTCTTGCGGGAATTAAATGATATGTTTCTGCGTCTGTGGTTTTTGGTGGCTACTCCAAGTTTCGCCACTTACTACTAAGCGGAACGCAATCGCATTCGGGCAAGTTTCTTTTGAACACCCCCTTGTTCGTAAGCCATTCCGGTCTCTTTTTGTTTTTCTTCTCTGTTTTCCTCCTTGCTTTATGCAGTTTTCCACACGTGTGGACTTCTTCTTTGGAATTCTCGAGACATTCAGTTCCTCCGGATGCGGTAAAATGCCGGAAATTGTCAAGGGAGTGATTCAGAAGGCGGTGTGTTGAATTGCCACGCTGTCATCCAGTGTTAACGCTCCCGGGATACACCTCGCTGCTGCTGCTGCTTTCTGTGTAGGCGTTGTCAACAACAAACTTTTCTTAAGGGAGGTGAGAGGTTTATGACACCGTCGCAGAGCTCTTAGCTGTTTCGATGTAACTTCGCTTTCGAAGTATCAAGTTCTTACAATTTCAGCCATCGTAATGACGAATAAGTAACTCTTTATGGAGTGATGGTTAAAGCGAAATGGTAACTATATGAACCAGGCTGCTTTAACAATAAATATTTCTGCATTTTCATTCATCGGTTTTATGTGATTTCCATTGCAAACAACAGATAATTTCCTGAAACTCAGTAACGGAGGAGTGTTGTGTTTTCTTTGGGGTACAGATTGAATCATTAAAAAATTGTTTAAACAAGCTTCGACTTCAAAGGGTTAAAGTTTTGAGATTGGTTGTAAATGATCAAAAATTCCCGTATGCCAAGAATAATTGTGGATATGAATCCAAAGGTAAAGAGAGACCCGAATGTCAATGCATGCGATTGAGAGATTGGTTTTAGCACTTTTAAAATGAGAAAAGTTTTAACATCGCTCGTCTCCCATCCATAGACTTGTAGATAAAATGTACAAAAGTAGGCTGTAACTTACCCGTTGTCGCGCGGATGTGCAGTTTCGTAACTCGCCCTGATGTTTTTATCACGGTGCTGAGGTACCTTGGCGTGAGGAGAAAATTAGAGAGACGCTTCATAATTTGAAGTATTCGCCAAAAAAGAACATGGTAATCATAATCAAGGATGGTATGGGCGAGGCACGTAGCAGGAATAAGAGTGATAGAAAATTCAATAACAGTTTAGTCCTGAAGGAAGGGAGCACGTGGAAGACGTAGGCTTAGATGAGAGGGGGCTGTTGAATTGGATATTAATGAAATAGGAATTCAGCACGTTTAGGATGCGGTCCTTGGCGGACCCTTGAAATTAGTAATGAATACTCTGAATCCATAAAAAGCGACTATCAGCTTCTTAAGGACGATTATGCTCCTTGGGTTTCGTTGCTTTGCTTATGATATGATAAATAATGCCTTGAATGCCACTGTTGTATGTTCGGGTTATGGAAGGTTCGCCTTCACACGTATGACATTTTTTTTGGCCTGATGATGTGTTCAGAAAGTTAATGGAGGTCTTACTGAAATGTAGTGACTCCAGATTAAATACAAGTGAATTACCACTCTACATAAAGACGTGACCACGCTTTTAATTTACTTTACACAGATGTAGCATTGAGAGTTGCAGACCTACATGAGGAATCGACAAAAGAGGACAGATGCAT